CCCTCCTCTACTTCCTGTCCTAGTCCTGGCTCTGACTAACATGTTTCCTTTTCTAGGGTGGCAACGCTCACTCACGTCGGATCAATAAAGTAAATCAAGGAACTTGTATAGTGAATATTAGAACCCTCAAAATTGTTGGGCATTAGACATGAATATTACAACTAGTTTTTAAAACCAAAATGACTGGTTTGATAGCTTGTTGCCTACTTAGTGAAAATAAAATGTAATAAATTATTATTACACAATACTTACTAGGGTAACTAGGGTGTGATATTAATTCTAACCGAAGTATTGTGTAACAGGCACTTCATTAATTTAATCAGTTATTTATTTATTTTTATCTGCAATGTGCATTGCAAAATGTTGTAATCTCTCTTGTTTACATATCGTAAACATAGTTATACATATGTGCTAGCTCAGATGGTGGATTGCATGCTGTGCATGGCCATTAGAGCAGACTGCGCAAGTCCACTGGAAAAGCTTAGCTGAGAATTAACAGTATCTACAAGCAGCTTGCCCTGCTTTCTCTTATGGACTTTTACCAGTTAAACATGTTTTTTCAGTTACAGTTTCACTTGCATGGATAGATAATACTGATGCATACAAAATGTGAAGAAGTGCAAAGCAAAACATAAACAGCAACACAAGACATTAATTACAGCATTAATGCAGCAAAAATAAGAACATTGACATTGAAAAAGAAATTGTTGTCATACTACCTATTTGTCATTGACAGGTTCAGTGTCACTAAACAACCAACTATTCTCAGTGTGATACACTATCTGGGTTGGATACAACAGCAGATTAATAGCAAAACACACCCTTGGTATTGTTCATGTAAGGTGCCCCACCACCAAAAGCAGGTGCAGGCTTTAAAAGGCGAGTTTGGAGTTTGGAGAGTGAGTGACTTTTCCATTTCTACTTGTCTGTTTTACAATAAATACTAGCAAACTGTGCCCAAGCCATTACAGGTAAGGTCAGGGCTATAGCAAACAATGGTGAAGAAGTGTTTTAGTAGGCAGTATGTGCGGGATAGAAGAGTGGAGGGTATGGCAGCTGGTAGTATGTGCAGGATAGAAGAGTGGAGGGTATGGCAGCTGGCAGTATGTGCACAATAGAAAAGTGAAGTGTATGGCATCTGGCAGTATGTGCAGGAGAGGAGTGCAGTGGGCAGTATGTGCAGGAGAGGAGTGTGGAGGGTATGGCAGCAGGCAGGAGAGTAATGTGGAGAGGAAATGTCCATTCGTTGCCACAATAAACATGTTATCATTACCACAGTAAAAACGGCCATCAATCCAGTGGTAATAATCCTTTATCCACTAAAATGATAACATTATTCCTAATAAATTATTGCCACATACTACATTGAAGAACATGCTGCATTAAATTTCCTTTAGTCCTCTTTCACACAAATGTTTTTGACCTGTAATTATATGGATCAAAACTTGCTGCAATGTGTCCATATGAGCTGCCAAATATAAACGTACAGGCGTGTGTGTGACTCTATCCCCATACATCTAGGTCCTGGTTTTTTTTGGACTGAATGCAAAACGTTTGTGTTCAGGTACACTTTTACTGACCTGACTGCATGTGAGTGGATATAGGAGGACACATGTCCGTTTATATCTGGCCATCTATAGGGATTACAGGTGTCCAATCCCCCTACCCCCCCGCCAAAAAAAAAGGTGAAGGAACATTGGAACAGACACGGATGTCACATTTGTGATCCAACCCAGCAGGGGATCAGTCTAGGATCCCCCTTTGGAGACTGAATGGAGGGCCCCCATTTGAATGGGGCCTTAAAGTGGAAAGATAAGCTGATTGCCAGCTTGTCAGCGTTGCCATAAATGTCACAGTCCACAGATTGTGCTTTGCTATAGTAAAAATGATCCAAAGATGATAGGTAAACATACCTCTCATTACCACAAAGAGAGTATGCATTGCCAACCTTCTTTTGAAAACACTATTTGCCTGGTTTTATGTGATTTAAATCATCAATGCTTTTTGAGACAATGACCCATAATAAGCATGCAAATTTCCAACGTAAGAGAGAAGTCAGGACTCCTAATCTGTACATTTGTTCCAGAACAGTGACTCAAAAATTATGGATGGCGTTGAATAGCCACGAAAGCCAGGAAAACAGTATTTTGAGAATGGGAGTACAGCTCGCATACTTCCTCCCTATAGGCTTTATTTAAATGCTACAAAAAGGATACTTGCTGTATTATTTGCTGCAGTCAACATATATTTCTTAATTAGGTTTTCAAGTACCACAGATAAGTATAGAAAAGGCACAAACTGCTGTAACAAAAAGTTATAACAAAAAGAGATTATGATCATTGTTGTGCGGGCTAATGGAACAGACTACCTTATATATACGTATATAGACGTGGTATTTAAAATCATGAAACAATATTAATTTATATAATAATTTGCAATAAGACTAAAGTTATAAATCAGGTAAAAAATCTAACATTAAAAAAAATAAGAAATAAAGCTAAAGTTATAAATCAGGAAAAAAATATAATATTATAAAATAATTTGAAATAAGGCTAAAGTTCTAAATCAGGAAAAAAATAAAAAATTCTAATATAATTTGAAATATATCTAAAGCCATAAATCAGAAAAAAATATAAAATTATAAAATTTTTTGAAAGAAGGCCAAAATTCCCCAGTAAGGACCACAAAACGCAGACAGAGATCCTAGCCCTTCCTCGGCCTATCCAGAACTACAAAAAGAAGATTTTGGCTGAAGTTACACTTAGAGGGATGGTGATTTTCTTGATAAGAATGAATTTGCTTTGATGCTAAAAATGTGAATGTTAGAAAATGTGTTTTCTCAGATAAATATTATCAGGATTATTCACAAAAGGGTGAAGAGTTTGGAGAAGGCAGGAGAAGTGAACTATCTAGAATATTTTAAAGTATATGTAAACCTAATCACTAAAATCTCATGTAAGCCTTAACATGTTAATGTCATTTTCCAGAGTGTTACTTGAGTGACAACTTTAAGTCTGCTGGGGCTGCTGATTCCATATCCAAGATGGTGGCACCCAACAGCAGTCTCAGGGCTTTTGAATTTCTATAAGGGGGGCTTTTACAGGTAAATAACATGCATAAAATATATTATAGGCACATATAATCTTATGGGAATATTTATTGATTTGATGTAGCATTTTGTTTTTTTTCCCATTTATATTCACTTTAATTATAATGTATCCATTTGTTTCTAAAAGCAGTAGCTAGTAAAGGTACACCTGCTGAATGTCTGCATACAGTGCTGCCTATTTGTGGAGAGGGAGCGGCCGTGCTGTAATGTTTACATTATGTAATGATTTGTTGACGACACAAGCTTGTGAGACACAGTGCAGAGACTCCCCGTGTCCTTGTCAAGGATCATCTTGTCCCTTCCCTATGTCTTACATTAGACAATGCTTGATCAGAACAGAATTAATGCAATGATGAGACTCCTGTCATATCTGGCCAAACATTCCAAAATACCATACTTGTAGATTTCTCCAAGAATGAGACAAAGTTCATAAAGCAGTTTATACGGCAGAAGGTTAAAGCAACCACAATTCATCTTTTAGTGATACTGTAATCCTGAATGATTACTATAGGCTAGTTGGTATGTCCAAACAATGGTGACAGATTGATCTCCATACAATAGATTATATATACAGACGTAACTGCTTCTAATAGGAGGTCCTAAACCTACACTTAAAGAAGAACTCCGTGCAAAACGTTAATGGACCATTGCACTGGGGCTACACCCACACTGCAAGGGTTAACTGCTAATTTTTGTCTAGGTGCTAAAAACGTAAAGTTATACTCACTTGAACCACAGAGCCAGCTTGCTCTTAGATCGGTCCTTCCAGCCTCTCTTCCCCTCCGCTGCAGCAGTCTAAGGTCCCATAAATCATCACATTCTATACACTGTGTATAGACATGAGGACATGAGGAGCTGACTCAGCGGCTCAAGTGAGTATAACTTTTTTTATTAGCTCCTAGACCAAAACGAGCAGCCAATGCAGCAGAGAGACTTATAGTTCTCAATGGAATAAAAGTGCGGTGATGTCACTGCACTTGTAGTCCATTCATTCTTTCTTCCATCCATGTTATGGAATGTCGATACTGAGGTATGGACAGGGACAGGAGGAAGAGCCTGCAGGAGCCAGAGCATTGTATTTGTGATCCATTGATCATGATTGCAATGTTTTGCTGCCTCCAATGTAAAAAAATAAATAAATATTAATGCACATTTTCTTCTTTTAAGTGTCACCCGGGTGCGAGCCACAGCCCCCGCACCCCCCTTGTGACGCCACTGATCTATCTACTGTATCTATCTACTTATCGCATATCTATTGATCTATCATTATATCTATCTATCTATCTACCTCTCCTCTGTAGTCTGGACCATAAATGCATGCAGGATGTTGCACAGGGTTTATTGGACACGTACATGAAATTTTGCACTAATCCTAAACAGTGCCATGTATCTCCCATGAACTGTTCACACACACACACATGAAAAGCACCCCTGACTTTTTTTGAAAGATGACTGCAGGACGCACCCAGGCTCCAGGCCTCCCGCCAGATACGGTTATATTTATCCTGTGAGATCACAGATCATTAACCCCTTGTAACCTTGCAGCTAGATCAGAACAAGATTACATGTAAGAGCTGTTCACTGGAACTGGGTAATGTATTTGTTGAAAAGAAAGGCTCTGAGCACACACAATGCATTTTAAGCAGCGAGAGTTGCAGAGGAACCCTTGCCCCAGACATTTCTTGACCCACAGTTCCTGATTGATCGCTAGGCAATAAGTAACCATCCGTCTTGCCAGGTCACTGCTCAGGGTGAGGTTTTCTCCTCCTCTTTCCCTTTAGACCTTGCTCTTTGCAGTCAATATTTAACAGCACAGTCTACTTTCAGCAAAATCCTATTAGTGACAGTGTAAAACAAAAAAAAGTAGTTCTGGTTTACTATAATTACAGCTGTGCTTGATGTGTTCATTGACCTATTTCAGCTTGAAATGCATGTGACACACTTGCTGTGTTGTGTCATTATACTAGCTTGGAGAAATCATGTGCTACACAAGTGAAAGTCTACGAATGCCTCTTTAACAGGAATGTTAGACATGATATCCCACTTCTATTGCCCCCTACAGCACAGGACAGGCAGGTTGGAGCAGGTGCTGAATATCTGATACAGCTGTTCCCTCCAGCGTCTGCTGGAACACAAGTCCAAGCCACCAGAGTGACCTAAAACATCCCCCAAAGTTAGCCTGCATCTTCAGGAGGCAGGGATGAGAATGTGTTTTACATCAAGTAACTTTCCAGACAACAGCGAGCGTGCGTGGCGGGGAAATATGATTCAGATAGTGAGTACACACCTCCAGCAATTTAATTCCTTGGAACATGTCTGTGCAAAGGACAATCCTAGCTAGCTTTGGGCCACACCAACAGATAACAGCATGGGCTGAAGATGTGGAAAGCAGTATAAATAAAGTGTCAGTAACTTAGAACAAGCTGAGTATGTCAGCGGTTATCCTAGGTGGCATGTATTGGTGTTAGGAGGATGTGGGGCGATGGGTGCTTCTGTACTCGTTGCCCCACCCACCCATACGTTTTGCTTTTGACTCTTGATTTTGGTTCGTAGGGTTGGGTGGGATGCATGTATGTTGTATAACCCATTTAAGCTGTTCCACCTTAGGATTGGCCTGGACTGTTGGGTTTCCTGTCTGTCCAGCTTTAACTGTTGTTATGTTACATGGCTCTTTCTGCCATCTACTGTTGTGGTGACTACCAGGCCTTGTTTCTTTGTATTACTTTGTATGAGAAGCAGTTTCACCAAACAAGAACTGATGGAAAATCTGCAACAGGGACACAGACAGAAATAAAGATGTGATGGGGGTTCTAACCTTCCCCTACTCTACTAAATAAGAAAATGCTTTTTTTTCTCCATGATGTCCACAAATATTGCAGTGCAATGTAAATATATCCCCTCCAAATGCTGAATGTAAATTCAAAGTGCTCAATGTTCAACTTTCTTCACTATCTGTGACAAAAAATGTGCATCCAGTAACAGCCCACGAACCTTCGAACTGGCAAATGTTCGGCCGACCCGAAGCCATGCGAAGCAAGCCGATGTATGGCTTATTTCAGCCGATATACGGCTGAAATCAGCCGTACCACCCTTCAGGTCGGTCATTCACTCGGCTGCCTACGGCAGCTTAGTGAATAGACCCCTTCAATTGTTTATTTCAGCACTAAAGTCATTGTATCTGCACCCAGCTTTTCTGCCAAATGTTTGTTTCACTGATGAGGCACTGCAATGGTTCTTGGCTCAGTTCTCATGTGATATGATCTTGTGAATGTTTAATGAGAAGCATGGAAATCCTATGAAAATCTGACAAGATAACAGCCAACAGCACATAGCTCAGCTGCCTGGCCCACACCCCTTTATCTCACAGCTCTGCTATCAACTTCCTGCTTG